GGAGACCGAGAGGAGGCACCTGACTCCTGGCTTCGGATTGGTGCAGCACTGGCTATGGCGGCCATCTGGGGAGTGAACCAATGGAAGAAAGACCTTTCTCTCTGTCTCTCTTTCTCACTGTCTATAACTCTACCTGTTAAATAAATTAAAAACAAACAAACAAAAAGAAATCTTCAAACTGTTTTTAACAATGTTTACATTAATTTATATGCCCAACAACAGTGTTTAAGAGTTTCTGCTTCTGTATACCCTTATCAGCATTTGTTATTTTCTGTGTTTTTAACAGCTACTCTAACACAGATGAGGTGATATCTTCGTGTGATTTTACTTTGTATTTGCCTGATGGCACAAGATATTGTGCATTGTCCATTGCTTCACATATTTCTTGATCCTTTCCATTTCTTCTTTGGAAAACAGTCTGCTCAGGTGGCATTTGTCCTTCCAGAAATTCTAAACAGGCTGTTTATTTTCTCTGAGGCTGTGAATACCACCACTACTTCAGACTAGAAGATGCCAGAAGTCCAGGTTTGCCATGAGTCTGTAGTTGGTGTGTTTTACTTTTTCAGCACAAAATTTTGCCACAACTCCACATGGATCCCAATTCTTGAGTTGGTCTGTTGTTCAGAATGAACTAGGAGAGAGTGCCTTAAAAGCTAAGCCTCTTCCCATAGGCCTATTCCTGAGACTGGGTTGGAACCAGATGCCTTTGTCTACAGTCACTGGTTTTTGGTCATATGCTGTTACATCTTACCTAGCTCTGTGCCTCACCATGGACCATGGAGGAACTCACTCCAGGTTGCTGGTGTGTTTTTTTTTTTTTTTTTTTTTTTTTAGATTTTGTTGTTGTTGTTGAAAGGCAAAATAATAGAGAGGGAGAAGCAGAGAGAAAGAGCACTTCCAGCTGCAGTTTCACTCTCCAGAGGCTAGGCAAAAGTCAGGAATCAGGAACTGCATTCTAGTCCCCCACATGGGTGGCAGGGGCCTAAGCACCTTGGTTATCATTTGTTGCTTTTCCATGCACATTAGCAGGGAATTGGATTGGAACTGAACAGCTGGGTCTTGAACTGGAATTATTTTTAAAGATGTTATTTATTTATTTGAAAGAAAGAGTTACAGGCAGAGAGAGGCAGAGACAGAGAGAAAGGTCTTCAGTCTACAGGTTCACTCCCCAAAAGCTGTAGAGGCCAGAGCAGGGCCCATCTGCAGCCAGGAGCCAGGAGCTTCCTCTGCTTTCCCAGATAAATGCAGGACCCAAGTACTTGGGCCATCTTTCACTGCATTCCCAGGCCATTATCTGGGAGCTGGATCAGCAGAGTAGCAGCTGGGATATGAATTGGTGCCCATCTGGGATGCCAGCACTACGGGCTGAGGCTTAGCCTACTATGTTCTCCAAGATTACTTTTAATTGTCCAATTATGGTCTATTATTGGTAACATTTTTGTATACTTGAAAATAGTATGTGTATGCTTGTCTCTATCTTTAATTGTTGGATGAAGAGTTCTCCATGTCATGTATTGGCTGAGTGCTGTCAAAATTAATCCTTATTGATTTTATGTTCTACTGATAGTTGAAAATGAAGTTTGGAAATCTTCAACAATAATTTTGGATATGCCTGTTTATTCTTTCTGTTTTTGTTTCATTTCAGTGTTGTCTTTTCAGATGAATATATTTCTAGGACAGTTTTATTATCCTAGTTAATTGATTCCTTTATCATTACAAAATTTCTTCTTTATCTCTGGTACTCCTTCTTATCTCAATTTGTCTAAAATTAGCATGTACTATGTGTCTTTTAAAATTATTTACATCTATTTTTATTTGAAAGGCAGAGAGATAAAGAAGTATAGGGTGGGATTGATCTGTCAGAAGGATTTTGTTAATGTCTGGGTCATGATCAGGTTTTGGGGTTTCCTTTGTGGTGTGTCCCAAGTGGATTAATAACCATGCTATTGTGTGGCCTCCAGCTGTGGACTGCTCTTGTGACTCGATCTTTGCTACCCTGCTTGGGAGAGGGAGCAGGAGTATTGCATTTTGTATAGATTCAGTGCCATCCTTTGGCAGATGACTTGTTTTTGAGCTTTTGGATGCTGGACTCTGTAACTACCCCTGCCTTTGCCACAGTTTTAGACCTGTAATATTATAGCACCAGCCAGTTTGGGATCTGAATACTGTAGCACCCAGATGTTTCACTGCCCCTTCCCATTGCTTTCTTTCCACTGAGTGGAATTCGGTTTTTAACCTGTGTCCTGAGGTTGGCAGGTCTTTTTGTCTTTCCCTCTCTAAGTTAGTATTTTTTTTGTTTGTTTTCATAATGGAAAATAGGGAGAACTATCTATGTAACTGGGACTGCCTTTTTTTTCCTGTGTACTAGCTGCTGTCTCACCTTGGGTGCTCACCATGAGAGAGGATTTATCCTTTCCCTGACCGCAATCTCTCAAAGGCCCTCAGTGAGGTCTATGGGAAAGAGCACAGAGATTGATGTGCATTTGCCTTGTGTTTGTGCTTCTCTGGACTCCTGTACACTCATCCAGACTTTAGTAACTGGTTAACAATTTTACTTGAATTCTCCTTGCTTGTGTAGCATCTGGCTTCTGTCCCAGATCAATGAGAGTTTGCAACCTGTTTCTCCTTGGAGCGATCCTCTTTCCTTGGATTTGGGTTACCTGATTGTTCCAATACTTTAAGTCTCTGATGGATTCAAGAGAAGTTGTGATTTTGATTATCTAAGTTTTTCAAATTGCAAGAAAGAAGTGCCTTCCAGTTTTCCATTCTAATTTTGACTATTCACAAATTTTCTTTACTAAGTTCTCTTTAGATAGTTTGTTTTGTTGTAATCTAAAAAAATAACAGAAATTAGCCAAAACACATTTATAGTGATTATGTTTTGAAAGCATTAACAAGAACTTAAGAGCCCTTAAATAGTCATAAGCATCATGAAAGAGGAATGTGAGCCTAGCTTAGGACAAGACCACCGTGGGACATTCGAGTAGGACCAATAAGCAGGGGATTCAAGGTAAACAATTCCAAAATGCTGCATTTGCTTCATGTCTCACAAGGTCTGAGCCGTGTCTTCTGTAATTAATAGGTAATTCATGGCAGAACTCTGTAAATTTCATGATTAGCAATATGTGCTCTTACTCTAAACAAAATTGAATATGGTTACCATTTTATTATAAAGGATCTTTAAAGATTTACTTATTTATTTGAAAGAGTTACAGAGAAGGAGAGACAGAGGCAGAGGGAGAGAAAAAGATAAGAGAGCGCGAGAGAGAGCGCGCGAGCCTCCATTCACTGGTTCACTCCCTAAATGGTTGCAAGCCAAGAGCTTCATCTGGGTCTCCCACATGGATGTAGGGTCCAGGGACTTGGGCCATCCTGCCTTGCCATCCCAGGTGCATTAGAAGTGGAGCAACCAGGACACAAACCAATGCTTATATGGGAAGCTGTCATTGTAGGTATCAGCTTTATCCATTACGCCATAGCACCAACCCCATTTTGAAGGGTTTTAAGTAACTTTCATAACAGCCTCAAACCATTTTATGCTGATTATATCTTCTATGATTAAAAATAGTATTTAGGTGCATTGACTGAATTTTTTCATACACTGAACATGTGCTTTCTGAGCCCTTATCACTTGCCAGACACTCTATTGCGTGGAGATGTATAAAAGAAAAATATAGAACTAAAACCCCGCACCAGCCTTTGAATTAAAGAATCTAAGTGGACAAACATTAAAATATTGCTTCAAGAAATTTTTTTATTTAGAGAGCTTCTAATTATAATTCAATTAGTATACAATTACAGTTTTTGGTGTTTTTTTTTTTTTTCTAAGTAAAATAAAGTTTTCTTAAGCGAAGTGATTGTCCTGTCAAACATTGTATCTTCACAAGTATAGCCAACAGTCGGCTCCCAGCAGGGGGTACATGCCTCTGGTGAATGAATATGCATCACAACCAGCCAAACAGAAGTTTTGCTCTGTGTGTTTCAACGTTTGTGTTCTCTAAAATTGGTGGCGGCATACATGCAGTTTATAATGTTGCATAAGGTGATTGTAGGAGATTTAAAAAAATGCAGAAACTTGGGATAGTTCAGAGATAAGAGAATGGTAGGTGGAGGATGACACAGGGAAGAGAATATATGAGATAATAATTTAAAAGGGTGATAGGGTGACAGAAAAGAGTGGGGACATGGAACATTAAGCAGTGTATGGGAAGCCATTTAGTTTTACACTTTTATTTCATGAATGAGGACATAGATATTCCTATTGGTAACATGACTTTCCAATTCCACATAAGCCTTGGTCCCTAGCAGGTAAAATAGGGAACATTGAACAGCATGGAAGCTGATGAGGAGGAGAGAATATAGAAGGCAGAGGAAAGATCAAAATCAGAGGGGAAATGAAAGACTGAGTAGGAAGCTGAGAATTTTGGGACAGAGCAGATTTTCACAACTGCAGACACGGGAAGCTTGTGTGTGCTCTCGGAGGAGGAGGAAGTGAGAAGAGAGACATGCGGTATAGGTTTATTTAGAAGAAAAATCAAAGAAGAACTTATTTGATAGAAATAACACCTGCAAGTGAAATGCTGTTTCTGTTTCTTCCATTGCTGGCTGCCCTGCTCCCCGGCAGTGACAACAAAGTTGGTAAGAACTTTTCCAACTGCCCAGTTGGGTTCAAGTGGGTTGGTGTGTATGTCCCTTTGTGTGTGTGTGTGTGTGTGTGTACGTCTGTTTAAGTGCTGGTGACTTTCTCAGCATATGCCTGAATAGCAAGCCATCCAGGTTGGTTCTGTTCTGACTTTCCTTGACTCTAGGTCCCTGTGTTCTTTTGAAAGATAGTATTAGAGCAAGGGAACTTATAGCAAGAAAATGTTTACTCACATTAGCTGTGACTGAATCATAGTTACTTCAGATTCTGAATTGCTCCAATGCTTCCACCTTTCTTTTTCAAGTCTATCTCTTTTCCAATGCTCTTTCCTTTAATTCAATCTGTTTTATTGTCACAGGGTTGGAAGAGCCTGTCTCCTTCCAAGTCACACAGACTTTATGTTTTTATAACCGTTCCTGTGTACATAGTCTGGGCTCAGGATGGTTGGGAGACTTGGAGACTCATCGCCGGGAAGATGTCTCTGGCACCATCGTTTACCTGTGGCCTTGGTCCAGGGGTAACTTCAGCAACAAGGAGCTCACAGAATTTGAAACATTCTTCCATTCGTACTACAGTAGATACATTATGGAAATTCACAACTTTGCCAGACAATTGAAGTATGAATGTAAGTTCGGTTCCCTCAGTGGGTAAATGGAAAGATCAGTGGGTGAAGGTGTCTGAATGATTTTCTTATTCCTCCAGGAAACCAACTTCACTCTCTTCTAATTCTAATTCCCCTTTCTCCAGCAGAAACAACACAAACAACACAAACTATCAGACAGGGACTATGAGTTGTATCCTGATATCCTGGTATCCTGATCTTTAAATACTTCAAGTCATGTGCAACTTATGTTCTCCTATCTCAGTAATTGCAGGGTTGTGATTTATTATTTTCCTTTAGAGGAGTCCTTTGTTCACCCTTTTCTAGACATCCTAACTATTTTCTTAAATGTCATCTTTATTTCCTACTCACTCTCTTCAGCTGTCTCTGTCTATAGATATGTTGTAACCTATTGCATTTGGTTCACCCTACATTATTTTAACCCCAGTTGTCACAGTAAGCCTTTTTATTTTTTGCCCAGATTATTCATATCGCCTTCTTTGAACAAATTCTCCAGTTCTTCCTTTCATTCATTGGTTTGTACCCCCTCTGATTCCCACAAATTCCTCTTCTTCAGCACTTCTGTTCAAACCTAGCTTTGTTCCATTCCCTCAAATCTCCCAAATGTCTCCTTTCTGCCTCTGCTGTGTCTTCCTTCTACTTATTCTATCTCATTGTTTTCTGTGACTCTTTCTTCTAATTCACCATCCCTCTTCTCCAGATCCCTTTGTCTTGCAGTATGATGTAGGCTGTGAGCTGCACTCTGGGAAGGCATCAGTAGGCTTCCTGCGGAAAGCTTATCAAGGAACAGACCTCCTGAGCTTTCAAAACAAATCGTGGGTGCCGTCTCCACAAGGTGGAAGTAGAGCCAAGGATGTCTGCAGACTTCTTAATCTGTTAGTAGGTCTCACAGAAACAGTGCACAGAATCCTCAGTGACACCTGCCCACGTTTCCTTCTCGGTCTACTGGATGCAGGAAAAGCAGATATCCAGCAGAAAGGTCAGTCCTCTTCCCTCCCTGAAGTATTTCCTTTCTATAATCACACTTTCCAAACAGTGCTCTCAATTTTAGGAAAATAAGTAGCCACCAAGAGGTAGGCAAGTTGTATGTAACTGAATTGATGTGGCTATCTGAACCTCGTATATTACAGGACTTTTCTGAATATCTTTCTTGTCTCCTGCAGTGAAGCCTGAGGCCTGGCTGTCCAGCGGTCCCAGTCCTGGGCCTGGCCGTCTGCTGCTGGTGTGCCATGTATCTGGCTTCTACCCAAAGCCTGTGTGGGTGATGTGGATGCGAGGTGACCAGGAGCAGCCTCGTACCCAGCCACGTGACCTCCTTCCCAATGCTGATAGGACGTGGTATCTCCGAGTAACCCTGGATGTGGCAGCTGGGGAGGCGTCTGGCCTGTCTTGTCGAGTGAAGCACAGCAGTTTGGGAGACCAAGACATTATCCTCCACTGGGGTGAGAAAGAATGGGGCAAAGGCCAGATGTGGTAAAAGGTGATTCTTAGCACTGCAGAAAAGACAGATGAAAACTTGGGATTTTATTTATTTCAGAACTCAAAGGAATAAAGATATGTCAATTCAAGCAATAGAAGAGACAATGAAGGACCTCACAGACAAAGGGGAATGTTGTAGGTTAGATGACAGATCCATCTCTATACAGGAATGAGGGATAAAAATGGAAGAAAAGGAGATGGGTTAAGTAGGCACTCAACTGGTAAAAGAATACCAGTGGAATGCACTAAAGAAGGGAGTGGATGGGGTACAAGAGGAGGTGGATTAGCAATAACATTGTTGGTGTCCTCTGAAATCTGCAGATCATCACAACCCCACTGGATTCATCTTCCTGGCAGTGATAATGCTCGTGGCTCTTCTGGCAGGTCTTGCATTTTGGTTGAGGAAGTGCTGGTACGTTCTCTGTCTTCTTCACGCCTGCTTTCCTTCCTTATTTGTTCATCTCCCCATCTTTATTTCTCCTTTGTTCTCTTTGTCCTCTGGGTCCCTTCCCTCTTTCTCTGCCATTTTCACCTCCAACATATGCAGAGTGACTTCCATCTCTGTTCTCCATGGTTCTTTTCAGGATACACCATGGACCTCTGAGAACTCTTCTCCCTTTGCAGTGAGAACCCAGCAGCCTGGGCTCAGAACCAGAACACAACATGGTGATGGCGTCCATCAGCTCTGCTTACGATAATTCACATCATCGTATTTCTTTCTGCTTGGTGATCAGTTGTCAATACAAACTAGATGCAATTTCACAAGATTTATTGTTCTGACCTGGATTCTGAGATTTTAAAGTTCATGTATTTACTTTGAATGGAACTGGGTCATAGAGACGTCACCTCTTCAGAAATTCATAGATCATCACTGCCATTTCAGTCAAATGTGGCTTCCTCTCACATGGTGAGTACAGTCTCACTCTGTACTGGTGATACAGAGTGGTACAGTCTCACTCTGGACTTAAATCCAGTCACATCTACACTCTCCATTGCACTATGTTCTCCTTACACTCTATCCTTTGTTGCAATTATTTAAGTCATTTTCCCATTGAAATAATTCAGATTCTTGAGAGCAAAGTCCATAGCTGTGTATCCCCCTAGTGAAGTGTCTTGTTAACATGTCACATTTTCTCAATAAAAGTTTGGACTGAAATTTATGCCAAATTTGTAGTCTTTAGTATTTCTTCCTACTTCCTGTATAATTGTTGAGACATTTCTTGTTTCTCTTGTTAAAATACTTCTCACTTTGCTAAGAGGCCATACATTTTCCTAGTTTTACAGTTCTCTGAGTATCTGAGGAGAAATAAAATTTTGCCTCTTACTGCTATTGCTATTTATCAACAGATAGTATGAGAGCAAAAGTACTGATCCAAGAATTGTAAACATAAAGATCAAGCAAGATGGAAGCCCATTGTGTTTAGTGTGGTTCAGGGAGAAGCAGCAACGGAGTTTTCATATTGAAGTTTGTTAGAAATGTAGAATCCAGGGTTTACCTCAGTATTGTTGAATTATAATGTTTAAGATTGTAGCAGAATAAGGAGGAGATTCTTGGTGGATAAAATTTGAGGTGATGCCTGAGATGTAGGTACTATGAGCATGTCCCTGAAAACAGAAAAGCCATGACAGGAAACAAGGGTGTCAGCAGTCAGGGCTCAAGTAGGATCAAAGTAAGCTATGTCCACACAGTGCTTTCTCATGACTCATGGCACTTTCTTCTTCAGAGTGCTCTGATCATTGGATCAGTGAGTCCTGGGACATTGCTTTTGGGAGAAATACAAGGTTAGCTTTCTGAGAGCTTCTGTTCACAAGATTTTTGTTAAGATAAACACATAAATTTGTTTTTTAAAAATGTATTATTACTGATTATTCATTGCATGCAGTGTGGACAGTGAGAGAGAGACAGAAAAGTCTTCCTTTTCTGTTGGTTCACCCTCCAATGGCCACTGCGGCCGGCGCACTGCGGTGATCTGAAGCCAGGAGCCAGGTGCTTCTCCTGGTCTCCCATGGGGTGCAGGGACCAAGGGCCTGGGCCATCCTCCACTGCACTCCCGGGCCACAGCAGAAAGCTGGACAGAAAGAGGAGCGACTGGGATAGAATATGGCGCCCCGACTGGGACTAGAACCCAGGGTGCTGGCGCCCCAGGTGGAGGATTAGCCTATTGAGCGTGGCGCCGGCCATGTATGCAGTGTCTTTACATTAAAATGCTCCCTGAAATTGTTTAATATTTATAAATCATAAATGTGGTCATAAATTTCATTGACTTTAGTCTTAGAACAATGCTGTCCACTATATTCTTTAAAAATGTTTTAGAGTGGGCATGGTGGCACTGTGGGCTAAATCACCATTCAGGACTCTTCTATCCCTTTTGGGAGTGGTAATTTCAGTCCTAGCTACTCCACTTCCAATTCAGCATCCTGCTAATAATGTGCCTAGAAAGAGGATGATGTATCAACCACTAGGGTCCCTGACACACACAAAGGAGACCTGAGTGGAGTTCCAGGCTCCTAGCTTCACCTTGGCCCAGTCCTGGCTACCTACGGCATTTGGGGAGGGAATCAATGGGTGGAAGGTCTCTCTCTTTCTCTCTCTCTCTCTCTCTCTCTCTCTCTCTCTCTCCATTTAGCCTTTCACAATAAACAAATACATAAATAAAACATCTTTAAAATGTTTTAGCTCCTGTGCATACTTTCATCACAGCATGATAGATGTTACTTTTGAAAGCAGCCTCGCCTGCACATAGGTGAATTTCTTCTTCCTCTTATTCGATGTACGTTATTATTAACTCATCAACACTGAGCTCACAGCCAACAGCACTATGAGGGTGCTTCATAAAGTTGGTGGAAAGTGAAATTAAAAAAAGTATGAGTGGGCATTTGACTTAGAAGTTAAGACCGTGGTTAAGATTCTTGTGCTCCATCTTCAAGTGCCTGGTTTCAATACCTGACTAACACGCCCGAGTCCAGCTTCCTGCTGATGCAGACTCTCAGACACCAGGGATAGCTCAGGCAGTGGAACTCCCACCACCAATGTAGGAGACCCGGGTTGGGTTCCCTGCTCCTGACTTTGGCCTCGTCCAGCCGCAGTTCGTGTTGCTACTTGAAAAGTGAACAAATAGATGGGAGCGCTCTTTTAGTCTTTATCTTTCTGCCTCATTAATTAATTAATTAGTTAATAGTTTATTATGCTGCAAGGCTTTTGAAATCCATGTATAGATGTTCTTTAAAAAGTTCATGGAGAGTACATATTATAAAAAAACCACAAATTTCAAAATTTCTGCATCAAAATAAAGGTCTTTTTAAAGAAGATTTATTTATTTATTTGAAAGGCAGAGTTATAGAGATAGAGACAGATCTTCCATCCACTGGTTCACTCTGTCGCTCCCTCACTCTCGGAGGAATGACACCGGATGCTGTTTTCTTTCCCCGGCCCTTCCTGGATTTGCTGCTGCTCCCCTGCCTCCGCGGAGGAGCGGCACCAAGGAGCTCTCCCACCGCTCTCTCCGGGGGGCCCCGCATGTTGTCTCTCTCCCCCTTTTATAGTCCTCTCCCACCAATCCGTGCTCTGCTGCCCGCATGCTGAGCACGCGGCTTTCTTCCAATCAGAGGTTGGATCAGGAATCAGCTAATTAACAAAGCAGCTGTGTAAGATTTGTTTACTCCTTCAGAGCACCATATGGTGGGAGATCAGATGCATAGAGTTAGTCTTAATAGTCTCGGTAGTCTCAGTACTTATTTCGCCATGTTGCGGGAGACAGGCCCTGCTCCCCACACACTCCTCTACATAGCTGCAATAGCCAGGGCTGGGCCAGGCTGAAGCCAGCAGCCTAGAGCTTCTTTCAGGTCCCCCATGTGGTTGGTAGGGGCTCAAGCACTTGGGCCCTCCTCCACCACTTTCTCTGGTGCATTAGAAGGGAGCTGGGTTATAAGTGGAGCAGCAGGACTCTAACCAGCTCCCATGTGGTGCCCATATTGCAGGCTGCACCTTAACCTGGCAGGGCACAAAGCTGACCCTCTAAGACAAATGCTTTTTAATTTAATTTTTTCATGTTCTTTTTGAATTCCTCTACTATAACTCACATCTGAACAAAGTTTATCTAATATTCAATTTCTGTAAGTCACATCAGTTTTCTTGTACCTAGAACTGTAGACAGTATTTTTTCAATATGTTTTAGGACCATATTAAGGATCCAAATCACTAAGAAACAGCAAATACTTGTGTAAAACGAAGCACTAAATTGCCCATAGAAAAGACACCGGATTACAGTTTGCAAACGGGAAGATGCAGAGCATCACCTTTCTTCCCTTCCATTGGGAAGGTATCCTTTGGGTGACTCAAGTTTTGCATGACTCTACAAGTTTTGACAAATGACTGTGAACACATTATATCAATTTTGAATTTAAAAATAATTTTTTACAATTTGATGAATTAGAAGATACAAAATTTGTGAATTGTAAGTTTGGAATTATCCCTAAGTTAGTCGGATTTTTGTTAATATATAATTAAATACCTGAAATGTGCTACTTGTTGAAAGAAGGAGGCTCATTTAGCTCCTGATTTTGGAGAGCTGCAGTCTAAGAATGGGTGATTCTTGTTGATTTTGGCCATATGGTGAGGCTGGAGGATGGCAATGACAATTATTGCATGATGAGACAGGAAGCAGAGAGACAAAGAACATATTACATATTTCTATCTAGTCTCTTTATAAAGCTTTTGTGATTTGATCCTAGGAGCTCCATACCAACAAACTAAACCAATCTAATCACTTCTGATGTGCTCTTCTTTCAATTACATAAATGCATTCAATTTCCGCTTGTAACCAATTAACCATTTATGTTCAGCCATTAATCATTAAGATGAACTATTGGGAAACAAACTTTTAACACATAGGCCTTTTGTGGGCATCCAAACTAATACACAAACTGTATCAGACCCCAAATGACAAAGTAATTGAAGATTTGTAAACTAATTCAGTAAGTCTTTCTTAGGCATTTAATCTGCTGTGCAACAGCTACACATTGAGAGTGAAGTCATGCGGGGTGAAAAGATCAACACTGTATCGTGAGCTTGAAAACTTTGCTGTATTAAATTTGACTCCACAGTTTATTTTCCTCATTGTGTGTTGCTGTTTAGTTTCTTAGTACAAGAATTTATGTAAGTTTCAGGAAAGTGACTTGACCTGGTTTGTTTGGGTGAGTGGCTGAGAAAAGGGGCCCCAGGACCAAAGCAGTATCCAGATTTACTAGCAGAGGTGTTAGCAGCTAAGTCATAAGGAAATTTGGAAAATGAAGTTGTGATGTCAGAAGGAAAAAAAGATTGAAAAATATGATGAGAGCAAATGGTGTGATCATTGCAGTCTTTCTAATTAGATGTTTTGGTTCCTACCAAGTTCCCATCTACAGCCCAACATATACATGGCATTCATTGATTCAGATGTCACAGCTAAATGTAAGACAATATAAGATTTAACCAAATAAGGACACCACACACACACACACACACACACACGGAAAATTGCTTTTGGTTGGTTAACTGCACCCACAGCTGTAGTCATCAGCCAAAGTAAAGGTAATTATGGGAATGCATTATTAACAATGCAATGTGCTTTATCATGGTCAGGTAAGCTATAATTTATACAATCATCATAGAGATGTCACTTGCCCTTCACTAGAGTGATGGTTCAGCACTAATCCAATCTAATCACTTCTGATGTGCCCCTCTTCCAATCACAGGGCAGGAAGAAACCTGTCCCGAGGTGTCTCGGTTTATATGAAATCTGATTCTTGCATTTGATGGTAGGGAAATGGGATGCTTTTCTGGGTGATATGATATAGAACATTAAGTTAGAAATAGCTCAAGTCATTTTCTGGGCACCAGAGAAGTAAGCTTGTGGAAGAAATCATCAGGGCTAGAAGGCAGAGACAGCAGATCTACAGAAGAGTCCAGTTTAACCTGTACCTAAAGTCTGAATGCTCTTTGGGCTTCTCAGCGATGTCATCCTATACGTCTCCTTTATTAAATCAATGTGGTCTTCCTGCTGGTAAGTGAACACCTCCTCTCTGAAATGCATGGCCCCAGGGAGCTCCACTGAGTTTCACACTTGCATGCAGCATTCCTGTTTCCTCTTACTGCTTCTCTCTTGCTAAGATTGGCTATCCCTTAAAGTTGATTTCTTCCTTTTCCCTGTTTTTATTCCATGTGCATTTATTTTGTTAAGCTCTTACATTGATTTTCTTTTTTCTGTGACATGTGGATCGATCCTTATCCTGCAGTCTCCCCATACTTCTGTCAAACCACTGGCCAGGAATCAAAGTGCTGGTTTTGCTGTTAGGTAAGAGTGTGATAATGCAAAGCTCCTCATTCTTGTCTTGAGTTAAATGGAAGCCAAAAGTATGTGCATTCAGAATTTTCATAAGAATCAAAAAACAATTCACATTTTGGGTCATGAAATGCCATGACAACAACTGTTAAATAATCAAAATCCAAGATATTTTCCTTTGTATTTTCTCCTGACAATGTCCTTCTTTCATGAACTCATTCATCTACCACATATTTAATTTTTACTATTTCTGTGACAAATATACTCACTGAGATTGGTTCTTAAATGTCTGGAAGAAGCTCTAGCTCTAGATATTGGAAATATAATCAATAATTTTTACCCAAGCTGGCTACTCCTTTGGTATTTATATTTAATCAAAGAGAGTCAAGTTTTATATTTTTAGCCTTCTTTGTATTTTTAATGTAACAGATATATAAAAATTGTACACATTTATGGGGTAGTATGCAATGTTTTGATAAAAATATGTATTGTGAAATTTTCAATAAGAATGAATGTATCTATATCCTCAAAAACTTAGTATTTCTTTACAGTGAAAGCATTCTGTCTCCAAGCTTTGTTGTTATAGAACAATATACAGTACACTAAAATTACCTATTGTCTCTGTACTGTGTAATAGAACTCCAGAATTTCTTATTTCTATTAAGTTGTAACTTAGTACCTGTGGATCAGCCATCCTTCATTTTTGTGTACTCTTTCCTTCTGCAGCATCTGGTAGTCATCATTACATATTTAACTTCTATGTGATCATCTTATTTTTAGGTTCTACACACACAGAACTGAAATCGTAAAACTTGTCTTTCTGTTCTTGGTTTAATTCACTCACATAATGATCTCTAATTCCATCTGTGTTGGTTCAAATGACACGATTTCTATGTTTTTATAACTGAGTAGTATTTTTTAAACTTTTATTTAATAAATATAAATTTCCAAAGTACAACTTTTGGATTATAGCAGCTTTTCCCCCCATAATCATCCTCTCACCCGCAACCATCCCATCTCTCACTCCCTCTCCCATCCCATTCTTCATCAAGATTCATTTTCAATTATCTTTATATACAGAAGGTCAATTTAGTATATACTAAGTAAAGATTTCAACAGTTTGCACCCACACAGAAACAAAAAGTATAAAGTACTGTTTGAGTACTAGTTATACCGTTAATTCACCTAGTACAATACATTAAGGACAGAGATCCTACATGGGGAGTAAGTGCACAGTGACTCCTGTTGTTGAGTAGTATTTAGTTGTCTGCATCTTCCCTCTTTTAATCCATTCATCAGTGAATTAACTTTGAATTATTTCCATTAATTGCTTATTTTTTTTTTGACAGAGTGGACAGTGAGAGAGACAGAGAGAAAGTAATTGCTTATTATGAATAGTGCTTCAATAAGCCTGAGAATGCAGATGTCTCTTAGATTTCATTTTGCTTGAATTTATAGTGAGTACTAGGATTTCTGGATAGCACAATAGTTTTAGTTTTCTGAGGCACCTCTGATTGTCTTTCTCAATAGCTGTACTAATTTATTTTTCTACAGTGTGTAGGTTTTCTCATTTCTACTCATACTCACCAACACTTGTTATCTTTTATCTTTTTTAAGTTAATTAATTCATTTGACAGGTGGAGTTACAGGGAGAGAGAGAGAGAGAGAGAGAGAGAATGTTCCATCTACTGGCCCATTCCCCAAATGACTGCACTGGCTAGGGGTGGGCGGCTTGGCTGAAGCTGGGAGCTAGCAACTTTACACCTCTTCTACATGGATATTGGCTTTTTTCCCCCCAACTGATGACAATAAACTTCATCAAGTATTTATTTGAACATTATTTCTGGCCCTATTTCTCCTTAATCATCTTACTTAATTTTGCATAGTTTAAGTCCTTTGATAGTGTCTCATAATTCCCACAAATATTTTCATTTTTTTTCTTTTGCTCCTCAAACTGGATAATTGCAAATGGTCTGTCTTCTTTCTTTTTGGGACAGGCAGAGTGGACAGTGAGAGAGAGAGACAGAGAGAAAGGTCTTCCTTTTCCATTGGGCCATCCTCCACTGCACTCCCGGGCCACAGAAGAGAGCTGCACTGAAAGAGGAGCAACCAGGACAGAATCCGGCGCCCCAACCGGGACTAGAACCTGGTGTGCCGGTGCTGCAGGTGGAGGATTAGCCTATTGAGCTGCGGCGCTGGCCAAATGTTCTGTCTTCTAATTCATTGTTCACCTTGATGTACCCAATTGTTAAAGATTTCCATTATAGCTTTTATTTCACTTGCAGTCTTCATCTTTGGGATACCTACATTTTTATAAAAATTGATTCTCTTAAAAATTTATTTATTTGAAAGGCAGAGTTACCGAGAGGCAGAGAGAGAAAGAGAGAGAGAGAGAGATGTCCTCCATCCTCTGGTTCACTCCCTAAATGGTGGCATTGGCCAGAGCTGAGCTGATCCGATGTCAAGATCCAGGGGCTTCTTTCAGGTCTCCCATGTAGGTACAGGGCCCTGAGGACTTGGGCCATCCTCCAGGCCATAGCAGAGAGCTGGATCAGAAGTAGAACAGCCAGAACTCAAACCGGTGCCCATATATTATGCCAGCACTGCAGGCAGCAGCTTTACCCACTATGTCACTGCTTCCTTTTTTAAATATCACTTTGTTCGAGTTTATTTTGAAAATTTCATTTAATTTTTTATCTATATATTTCTGAAGTTTACTGAATTTTAAGATAATTACTCTAAGCTCTTTTTTTTTTCAAATTTCATTTGCATTCAATTTTTTAGGGCCCATTCTTTGAGCTTTCAAAAATATTAACTTAAAGGTGTCATGATTTCTTGAACCTTTGTGATCCTTGTGTCCTTTCATTGTTGTTTATGCATTTGTAGAGTCGACCACTTTTTAGGGCTTTTGCAGATGTTGTTTGGAAGTGATAAAACTGCATTGTTTGTACTAGCCTACGGTTCTGGCTGGTTGAATCTGTAATGATCCTGCTCTCAGGCATAGTCTACTGTCATGTTTTCAGAAAACTGGGTTAGTGTCTGTTTTACATTTGGTTATGGCAATTGACTTTGTTATGATCTCTGAGAAGATAACCGGTTGAATTCCAGAGTTGGATTGAGCTGTTAGGTGGGTATGGCCATAGCCCCTGATATTTCTGGGCCTCAGTGTATGTTCCTTTGCACTGTGGGGGCCATTTTCTTCCTTGAGAAGGATCTGAAGGTGATCTTTGAGGCCACAGAGAGAACTCTTTAAACTGTGAAACAGAGCTTGTGACTGATACTTGTCATAATTTGCAGTTTTGGTAGTCTCCTTCCTGGGTGGAACCTGGTTATAGTCTTTGAGGCTTCAGGGAGTCCTGTTTAAACTACCTACCTGTGTTTGCTACAGCTGAAAGATGTGGTCTCATCCTACGCTAGGAGGGATTTGAAAGTGGTCTTTGCAACTGCAAGAAAAATGCTATTTAAACTCTCCAGTGTGGCAAAACAGCGTTTATTTGTTGTTGTAATTTGGAGCTCCCAGTGTCTCTCCCTGTTTGGAATCCAGGGATTATCTTTGAAGTTATAGCAAGTGTATTTTAATCCCAGGTATGGCCAGCTGTTTTTCAGAATTCTGTGTGGGAGTTTTGTCCCTCCCTTTGTTTCTATGGATTATGGAGGAGGTTGGACATGCAGGCTGCCTATCTAGCTATTCAAGCCAAGTAGTACTTCATCTCTTTCTGAAAATGACCAGATATGCTTTGCAGTTTGAACTATGTGATTAGTTCTGATCTTTGGAAAAGTTCCATTGTTCTTTTTACTAAAAATGACATACTGGTCTCTGTGAAATCTACCTCTTTGGTTTTTGTTTTTATTTTTGTATCTGGCTCCAGATAGTCTCTGCTTTCAGTTTACCACTTTAAAAAATTTATTTATTTGAAAGACAAAGACGGGGAAAGATACACACACAACATACGTCATCAGTCTGCTGGTTAACTTCCTAAATGCCTGCAACAGCCAGGCATTGCCCAGGCCAAAGCCAGGAGCTCAGGCACCTATCTGGATCTTCCGTATGAGAGGTAGGAGCCCAGGAACTTGGGCCGTCATCTTCTACCTTCCTAGTTCCATTAACAGGAAGTGGAATTGGAAGTATAGTACCTGGGACTTGACCTTGAACTTTGATATGAGATTTTAGATCTCAAGCTGCAACTTAACCTGCCGTGCCACATTCTCCCCTGCCCTGTGAATTGGAAATAGAGATGGCTTTCTGGAAAGTACCAGAATTCTACATAAACTGAGTATCTGTTTCTCTTGTTCTCTTTTCCCTTTGTGGGAGCCATGGTCCCTTGGAGACTTTTCTTTGTATGGCAATGTGTCAACCAGGGTGAGGGTGAGGGGCAATGTGGTCCAAACAAGAATGTTTCTCTTACCTTATTGATGTCAATTCTTATTCACTTCCATGGAACAAACAGGTGACTCAGTCATATTCCCCTTTTTTGGGGTTTCACCAAGGTGTTATTTAACCTGAGAACAAAGACAGATATTCTACTCCGTGATCTTGATGATGTTACTCCCATTTTTAGTTTTAATCTATTTCTTCTATGACTGTTTTTCATATCTTTAAGCTTTAATATATAATTCATGGGATAGATATTTAACACAGAGCTAAGACACCACTTGGAATGCCCATAATTGTGACCACACATGTAATCCATACAAGCCCATTCCTTGTGTTTTCAGTTGTGGTTACTCATTCACCTTTCTGGGCTTCCATTTCTTCTTCTGCCATTCTCTAAAAGCTTCTATTATTTTATTGTAGAGGCACCTCTGCATTTATACAAGAATTTCAAAATAGCTGGCAATTCTAGGTGCATTGTTCTGCTACATATTTTCAAGTAATATAGTGTGTAATGTCATCAGAAACAGAATCCCTGGCTATGTTCTGTATGTCTACATACAAGAATTCAGTGGTCATGTGAGCCATATATTAGATTTGGTAAGTGAACCAAGGGCAAAGGATCAAAATTAGATTGAATGGATATGACATATGTGAAAATGGAAAGGCGGCTCTGGGAGCTGAGAATAGTGCTAAGTGTATTATGACAGCCAGGACATGAGAGAAGGAGGGAAAAGCAGAGTGGGAAAGAGGAGATCATGTGGATGGAGGGGATGAAGCACAGTAGGACATGAAGATTGATAGAGCCATACATGAAATCATGGAATAGTCAAGCTTTTTATTAATTTTACGGGTAAAGAAACTGAGGATGACATGCTGAGAGGATCTCTCCAATTCAGTGCCTTCAGCATGTGTGGGAGGTCATCCGACTCTCAACCTGGAGCTCCCTTGACGAAGAGATTTGCTGTGGGAGGCAAGAAGCACACAGAAACCAAGGAAGGGCAGCTGGACGTCACACACGTGAGAGAAACCGTGAAGTGCTGTTGGATGGAAAATGAGAAGCCCAAGAAGAGGCACAGGGTTGTGGGAGGCAGTTGGTTTATCTGGTGAGGAAATTGAGGTTTCTGTTGGTGATGTGGAGGGAGTCGGATGAGAGAACACAATTGTGTAAGGAGGGGAAATTCACATCTGGCTTGTCAGCAGATCATGCGGGAGCTGCACATGAGTAAGCTTGTTATTGGAACACCAATTAAACAGGGACATTCCCATGGAGTTCTGCCGAACACGGGAGTAATAGTAGATTCACTGGAATATCTTGAACACACTGCCTGGCTGAGTTCTAATCAAAGTATATCTCTCTTACCAAAATTTTTCTTCTTTGGGATTATGTGTATGTAGGGAGCATACAATTATTGGTGATCTGTATATTATCACCTTCCTCCTCAATTATTTTCTTTTTTTATGATTCTGGTTACCTACCCCATCTGTTTTATGTCTTGAATTCTGCCAACAGTTCTACTCTTCCTCAGCTGCCCTAGTCGTCAACAGCCCCTTGCCACCTCCTTGGGTGCCTTCTCCTTTCTTCTCCTCGCCTTCAGATCCTGTCCTTCATCCACCAGGAGGAGAGCAGGCTGGGAGTGTGACTGACCGCCAGCTAAAATCTGCATCCCTGATCAGGACCAACTCATTCCACTGAAAAGTGGAGGTCAAAACTGTGTGCTCGGCTACAATTTTCTTTTTAATCCACTCCTCCTCGCCCCCACCCCTTGCTTTTCTCCTTTCTTCTTCACCATCCATTATGATCTTTGGTGTCTCTGATCATCTCCCAATCGTTTTGCTGCAAAAACCCGTTCCTCATTAAGTTAATTTTTTTTCCTCTCCTCTAACTGCATCATTGTTACTTTCCCTCCCCCAACTCAAGAATATAAGCCAAATAATTTTCAGGGTCCATTGCAACATGAAAAATTGTAATTTTGCCTTATTCTTGTCAGCCTGCTATAATAGAATATCGTTCCTTGGGTGGCTTACAAATTGTAGACATCTTTTTTTATACTTATTGGAGTGGTGAAGATAATAATCAAGGCAGGTTTGATGTTTGCTGCTCATTTTCTGGTATATAGAGGATACCGTCTGGATGTGTATTTATGTGGTGTAAGCAGTCAAGTCTCTCTCTCTCTTTCTCGCTCTCGCTCTCTTTCTCTCTACCTCTCCCTCTCTTTCTCTCTCTCTTAAACAGGAAATTAGTGTTCATCAGGACCCCAATTCATGAAATAATTAATTCCTAATACAGGATATAGGGCTTAACATATGGATTTTCAAAATACATGATAATTCAAACCTTAGCTGATTGACATTCAAGAAGTAGGGAAAAAGTGCTTTGAAAAGTTTTAAAATATAGGATATATTCATTTTTTATTAAAGTTTTATTTCCCTGTATCAACCTGTTATGGTGTGTTATTTTATTTTGTATTGCTTGTTTGATTTGTTAACATTGTATTCCTTGGACATTCCAATACAAACAGTGTCAGAGTAGAGGCTACAGGCACTTGGGAGCTTTACTTCATGCCTCGAAGCACATGCAAGATGTCAGTTCACTGCTGGGTTCCCTCTGCTGTCAGCTTCCTGACTGATCTGTGGTTTCACTGTGGGAATGGTAAAATCAATCTCCCCCTCCCCTGACGACCACTTTTGGCAGATGAGTGACTGCCATGAAATTATATCCAGGTTGTGTGGCGACACACTTGATACAACTCTGACCAAGAGTAGGCAAGAGGCTCAATCTGACCAGTAAGAAAGCAAGCTGCGGTGCAGCAAGGGTAAGAATGGCTTTAGCTCTGCTCTGTGTAGACACTCTGGGATGTGAGTCACCGCAGCTTATTCTCCCAATATCACTCCCAGGAGTTTGCAGTCATGGAAAGTGATGAAAGGAGGGACATTCAATACATGTTAGAACTGTTTGCTGTGCTGGCAGTGGGTGGCAGAGGTGACAGATGGAGGTGGGCAGGCAGAATCCATACTTGTCTGGGGGCCCCAGATTTGGGAGAGAAGATGACTAAGAATCAATGCTGGGGAGGCAGGGGAGGTGACAGGAGACAGGGACAGATGTATACCTAGGAGGCTTCTACAAGCACCCACAAATTTTCACTTGGCATATCGGACTTCACTCATAAAACACACTTTCAAGAAGATAAACTTGTTATGAGTTTCAACACGACAACATAGAGCATTAACTCTGCACTATTGCATTCACTGCAAGCCCCATGAAGGGGGAGCCCTTTTTATATAGTACACAGTCTATTTCACTATATTGGGCATAACCCCAATTCTGAGCCTTGCCTTTCCTTAGGTTTTGAATTGTATGGCCTGGATGGCATAGCTTTCTCCAATCACATCTGTCTTCTTCCTCCAAATACTGAAAAACTCTGTGCTTGTCCAATGCTGTGCCAGTTCTCTCTTCCCATACCTTCCATTTTTTCATCACTAATCTTTACACTGATTTGGGAAATAATTTATGTGTGTGCTGATTTTGTTTCCCTGATTTTGTTACCTTGCAGTAAAGTCTGCACAACTGTCTTATTTTTCTCCTTCTTTTATTATTCTTTTGACCTACCTTGTGAGAGCCATCTTCTTACTTAATCACAGGCTGTCTGTGTTATTCCTTCCACATAGAGCTTCTCCCTGAGCCTCCTTTCTCTGAATCCCTGTTTTATCTGATTGGTGGAGAAGCCTCACAAAGTTTCTCAAAGGGGTCCATGATAGATCAGAGCCCCTACATTTCTATGCGTTTTCTCAGAAGCCTCTTCATGTGAGAAACAGACTGAGAATGCATGGAGCATGTAAAGTTATCAGAAAAGTTTACTACTTGGGAATGACATGGTGCTATGGAAAACACATTATATACATGCTAAGATAAACCAATGTCTTAATAGTAGATATTTTACAAGTATAATATTTACCTTTCACTTCTTCAGTATAGCTTTGCAGGTTAAACTACTCAAATCTACCCCAAGACATATTATAAACAAGCTTTCAAGCTTAAAGACAATAAGTATCTTCAGCAGCAAGAGCAAAGACACATGTCATAGATAACAGTGTTCGAATTCAACAAACAGCAGACTTCTCATCAGAAATGCTACAGACCAGGAAGGAATGGAATGACATTTTCATCCTGCTCCAGGAAAACATTAATAAGTAAAAGTAATTTACCACTGTGGGAAGATCACTAAGGAACGTGCAAGTAGGACCAATTAGAAGGGTATCCCGAATAAATGATCTCAGAATACTCTATTTGCTTCACTTCTCACAACTTCTGACTAGTTTCTTTTCACAAATACTAGATAATTCATACAAGAATGTTCTATATGAATGTCATGGTTATGAATATATGCTCTTATTCTAAATAAAATTGAATATGATTGTCATTTCATAATGAAGTATTATAAGTAACTTTTGTAGTGATCTTGAAGGGGTTTATGTTGGAGATAGATTCCATAATTATAAAAGAGTATTTAAATGCATAAACTGAATTCTTACATACAATTGATGAGTGTTTTGTAAACCCTTACCCCAGACAGACACTCTATTTGGTGGAGATACAGCAAAATAAGAGTACAGAATTAAAATTCTAGGATACTCACTGAGGTATCTCAGTGGGAAACATGACTTTAGAAATATTGTTCCAGCTTAATTTTTTAAATTTACAGTATCTATACATTATAATACCACAGCACACCAAGATATTCTTGGTGTGTTTTGTTGTTATTAAGTAAACTAAAGTCTTCTTGAGCAACGTGAATGTCCTGTCAAACACTATATATATTTTTAAAGATTTTATTTATTTTCTCTTTATTTTTTATTTATTTATTTTTTTTATTTAGTAAATATAAATTTCCAAAGTACAGTTTATGGATTACAATGGCTTCCCCTCTCCAATAATTTCCCTCCCACTCGCACCCCTCCCATCTCCCGCTCCCTCTCCCATTCCATTCACATCAAGATTCATTTTCAATTATCTTTATATACAGAAGATCCATTTAGTATATATTAAGTAAAGATTTCAACAGTTTGCACCCACACAGAACATAAAGTGTAAAATACTGTTTCAGTACTAGTTATAGCATTA